CCAAGCCAAGGCCGAGGTGGTGGGGTGGCTGAGCACGTCCAGCACGGGCCTCAAGAACACGGAACACGAGACAGGAAGCGGGAGGGCAAGCCGCCACTTGGCAGGACGGCAATTTGGTGGCGGGGACTCAGAAGCACAACAATTTTAGGCAGACGGCGTAAAAACACGAAGCCTGAAGAGATACGACATTCCCTGGCCGATATTTACAACGTCTGGGAGGGGGCTGGACACTGACAGGCTGGCATCTCAGGGACGAAGAACCATGTCGATGGGAGTGTGAATAGATGGGCCATGGTGAAATGTGTGTGTGTCTGTGTGTGTTTGTATTTAACATACATTTGGTCCCCACAATGTGGTAAAATCAATAACTTTGTAGTCTCTTGGGACATTGCTCAGGTCTCCACCATTCCAGTGCAAATAAACTCAAAATGCCAAAATTCTCGTTTTGTTTGATGGCACGGAGTCAGTCAGTCAGTGAGTGAGTCAGTGAGTGAGTCAGTGAGTCAGTCAGTCAGTGAGTGAGTCAGTGAGTCAGTCAGTGAGTCAGTCAGTGAGTCAGTAAGCCTCTGGTACCTCATCTTCCTCCTCATCCTCCACATCCAGTATTCCAGAGTCCTGCTCAGACTGAGGGCTGCCCCCCTGGCCGGTGAGCTCCGTGCTCTGTCCCACCTCCTTCCTGACACGGCGGCCGCTGCCTGCACTCTGCTGGTGGGAGAGGGCGCTGTCAAGACTGCGCTGCACCTGTGCCTGAACACAGAGAGGAGGGAACCGCAGTTATCTGGGATCAGAGGAACTTAAAGGTTTTCACTGAAGTGACCTCACACAAACGGGAAAACACAAAAGCATTACAGATGTTATATATATAATATATAAATTGCAGTCAATCTAATAAGATTAAAAAGATAAAAAAGATTTGAGAAATGAAAATTCACCAAAGTGTGGCACATCACTATTGGGCCCTTGAGCCGAGCCCTTAACCCCCAGAAAAATACCCCTGGGACACCAGATAAATGGCAGACCCTGCACTTAGACCCGAAGCTTCGCTCTCACCTGTATGTGTGTGTGTGTGTGTGTGTGTGTGTGTGTGTGTGTGTGTGTGTGTGTGTGTGTCTCAAAGATGGAATGTGTTCCAATGAATCTATATTCATACGTGTACAAAAAGCAAATACAGCATAATTTCATTTCATCAGCGCTAGCCTCTATTTACAAACATGCAGAGAGGAACAGGCCACAGAGCAAGCGCGTAACGCCAGGGCAGACATGGTACAGCGCGGCCTGCTCCAGCAGACCACATCAAGCGCTGCACATCCGTGTTTAGCATTTTACTTCTCAAACGGTTTACTGGTATTTACGGCAATAACTGGAACAGAAAAAATACAAACCGACCCAGTCATTAATCATTCAACAGTCAGACAACTCACTCTCTCTCTTTCTCTCTCAGACACATACATGTTCTCACATCCAAAGGAGTATCGGCCTTCACAGACGCCGCCAAAAACGCGGGACAGTCACCTGATCACCACTTCAGCCTCCAGCAGAGTTTGTTTTGCAGCAGGACTCGGGAGCCAAACCAGATCCATGCGGAGTCACTGATCTTACCTCACGAAGCAACCATGCAATTTTCTCTCAGAAGTGGAGAAATCTTCACAATGTAGGCTTTGGTTTCCATAGCTACCAGGACCAAGGACTAGGGAAACTCTGCTCTACATCATCTCTTGCCACACCATTAATTATGCTTATGTTCAGCTCTCATTTGAACTTCAACTGGATGCGTAATTAAAAACGTCCCAGTCCTTTTTGTGCATTAGCAAAACAAGAGAAAGGCTCAACAAGGCAGAGCCATTAGCCATTTTGGCTAAAACATTAGAGGCAGCTGTTTAATACTGAGGATTAACTATTGCCTTAATGATTAATCTTTGTAAATGTGTTTCCCAAAACTTAAAAATAAGAAGAGAAAAACAGAACAGCTGGTAAATCATGGAAGACATTTGAAGAACATTAGCAGGGGACAATTTGTCCACAGAAAGTTTTTAAAATTCTATATACAAGCATAACTGACTTCACAGGAGAACAGGCACAAGCTCACAACACGTCTATGCAACATGTGCAAGCGGGGACACACACCCACATTAATAAAGCACACCACCAATATTACAAATTATGCACACTCCCACCACTGGCAAACACACACGCACAGCACAGCACAGCACAGCACAGCACAGCAGACATATGTTTGTTTTCATATCTTTATGGGGACTCTCCATTCATTTCTATGGGTATATCCCTGATCCCATCTATGACAACCTCAACCTCTGCCCAGCCCTAACCTTAACCATAAGTAACCAAACTAAATACAAGACTTTTGACATTTTTAGTTTTTTGATTGCAGTCACAAATTATTATAAGATTGAGTTTCCCCTTGTGGGGACCGAAAAAATGGTCCCCACAATGTCAAAATATTTTTTAACATATTGTGGGGACATTTGGTCCCCATAATGTAATATATATATATGACAGACACACACGCACACGCACATGCACACACAGTGACCCTGGTGAGCAAATGTTTGAGAACCACTTTGTCAGAGGTTACTTTGGTTTAAACCGTGGTTGATTTCCAAGCCAACATTCCGCTTTAGTTGGAGAGATCAGAGGATAGGACTCTGAGCAGTGTGTTCTGCTGCCACCTACAGGCAGGAAAGGGAATACAAGGCTGCTTGAGCCCCATTCTTTTTATCTGATTTAATATTACAATTGTAGTTAGTGGTTCACTTTCAAAAGTGCATTGGAAAGAAAAATCATGTCATAAAGCTACAAAAACGAAGAGATATAGAGGTGATATGTCTTGAAAAAAATCCCCTTTTATCTATTACTAATGAACCGTGTAGATTACCTGGGGTAAGAATATCGGTTTCAGCATGAGCCAGGGCCGGCACAGCCAGCACTGACAGCAGAAAAAGGGGAAATATTTACAGCAAAGTCCCACAGTTTTACACCAAAAAAGTTGGCGTCAGAGCACATCAACATGGATACGTTAATGAAGAATTCACGACCCTCCTGCATTCTACTACTGTGAGCACAAGCTTAACAGAGGGACAACATACAGAGACGTAAGAGGAGCGGGATTCTCTTTGGTCTCATGTTAGAGTCTTGTTTTGGAATCTTGTGGCAGAGAGTTTCGAAGAACCTTGGACAGGTCGTCCGAATTTGACAAGTCTTGAAACTCTGATAACCTGCCTCTGGATAAGTAACCATCAGTAGAACCAACAGAGATACCAGCTAGGAATCCTGTTTTAGGGGGCCATGGAGTCTGGGTATCGGACGAGCAGAGGAGCCTCCAGATTCAGACCTCCGTCAGGCATGAGCTGCACACTGGCTCCAGAACTACGGCGATATGGGATGGGGACCCCACCCACCCACCAGTCACACACCAAAAACGAATTCCGTTTGTCTATGGAGAGTGGTAACAGCTCCGTGACAAGAGCCCCTGTTTGTCATTAGAAGCAGGAGGGGAGGGGAGGGTANCAATAACTGGAACAGAAAAAATACAAACCGACCCAGTCATTAATCATTCAACAGTCAGACAACTCACTCTCTCTCTTTCTCTGTTTCTCTCTCTCTCACACACACACACACACACACACAGAAATTAAATACTGGATGATCACACAAGCTACATGTAGAATTCTTATCCATGATGTATTCGGAAAGTAACTTTCCTGGTCAACAAAGGAATCCTCCCTCTTAAACCCTCCTTATTCTGGTAAAAAGGGTAATTAGGGAGAAATGCTTGTCGTCTGGACCAAATTATAAATTATAATACAGGAAGCAATATGGAATTAATACTTGTACAAGTTTCCAGTTAACAAGCAGTTCTCATAGAACAGATACGAATATATATATATATATATATATATATATAGATATATATATATATACATACATACACACACACACACACATATACACACACATACTGTACATATATATATACATATATATACATATATATACATATATACACACACACACACACACACACACACACACACACACACACATACATACATACAGTACATATACATAATAATACAAAATAAAGATCTAAAAAATGTAGAAATCTCAGCATGCGAGGAATACATCTCTACAAATAACCTACACACAGCCTCACACATTCACATGCAGTTCTCTTGAAAGTACCCAACATCCTCTACGCTTGCAGTGACACACCAATGACAGGGTGCTGGCCGGAACCAAGACTAAGTGGCCTAAATCCCCCATGGCCTACAATGAAGCCCCCCCCATAACATCGCTCATCATTAATGTTTGGTGCTTCATATTAAAATGAATTTAGCATTTCTTTTGTATTAAGAAACTCAGCACAAACTACAGCAGAAATGCATTCAAGTGGTCACCCGTATAAGATTCCCTGTCGGCCACAACAATGATAATCAATGGTTATCATTTCCAGCAGCAGAGTATCTGAGAGCTTTCATTACAGATCCATGTTACCATTTCTTGACCTAGAATTCTGGCCTGGATGGAAGAGACTCAAGAAGAATGAAACCAACTCAACTTGTGGACTGGGTCAGTGTGGTTCTAAGCAGGCAGACCCAAGGAGATGCTGAACAGAATGCATCGTCCTTAACCAACAATATGACAGCACTCATGCCCTGACTACGAGCACCCAGACATCCTTCTGCAGTTGTGTTTCAACAGGACTTCAAAGGCCCTCAGTGAAACCGGGAGTGAGAAGAACGGATGGCTTGTTTGAGTAAAGGAAAGAGGGTTGTAAGGTGTCGAGCCAACGGGAGAGGACAGATTGAAGACGTCATACCTCCCCCAAGGGATACGGACAGGGCACCGAGAGTAGGGAAGACTGCGGTGGAGACACAGCACAGAGTCCCACATGAAACGCTGACTCCAATGCAAGACAGACACCTAGCCCCTTGAAAAAGGCCAAAGCCAGACAAGACGGGGCCGGTGGAGCTGGGGGGCTGCCGGGGGAGGGAGTGGGAGGCTAGGCTTTGCTGTGGTTGAACTAGGAGATGAGGGACCTTTCTTGGCCCAGAAGAAAATGAGGGCAGGCAAGCAACAGAGCTGACACTACAGTGAAGAGAGTGGCAAGGAGGGAAGCTGGAATATCAGAAGGTAAATAGAGGAACAGAAAAGAATACAGCTATCAAATAACAAATGAAAGTACAAAAATGCAAGCAATATTCTGAGAGCAGCACAGGGGATAATATAGTGCACAGAAGCACAGGAGCTCTACCCGATGCAGACTGCAGAGCAGCTCGGAAAGCACCGCCTGGAATGCAGGAAGGCCGCAAACCGGCCCAGGCCATCCAGAACGGCCCGCCACGTGAAGATGTACAATTCCCGACAGTAAACGACATGGCCGGCTGGGCCTGCTACCAGCAAGGGCAAGACGTTGGCGTCTGGAAGCAGAGGATAGAGAGAGAGAAAGAGAGAGATGGAGGAGGATTAAGCCAGAGGCTTGGACGGGACCACAATAATGCTCTGGTGAGGTCCACATTTCCAGTGCTGTGGATGGCCACAGCTCCCACAGCGCAAGAGGCCGAGTGGCTAGGGGGATGCCAAGACTGAAGGTACAATGCATGAGATCACGCTGTGGTAGCAGGGACGGCTCCTTAAATATAAAGCCAAACGCTTAGTAGTACTCCTGAATATGTATGTTTAACTGGAGCCTAATCCCCTGCAAATTTCTGGGATAAGTGAAATCAATC